TCCCACTCAGGGCATNCCGGGTCCGGTCAAGTGGGATTTGTGGTGGACAAAGTGGGCCTGGGGTAGGTTTTCCCTGCCAATCTTCATTCCAGCAAATTCTCCATCATCATAATCACACGGGACAGGTACAATAGGCCAATCATTGGCCGCCGTGCCGAGTGGACCCAACTGGACTCCACCCCCCACTAAGCGAACCCCTCGCTAATCCGGATTCGTGAAGAAAAAGATATCCCTAAAGGACAAAAATATATAAAATAAATAAATGGAAAATGTAATAAGACAGGCAGTGCTGATGAAAATAAATAACAAAATATCAGTGCAGCGGTTTCTTCCTCTGTTAGAAGTACAATCCAAGGTCTTCTTCATCCAGCTGAAGCCAATCTTGGATATTTCCTTGCGTGGCTTCAGTCTCTCCAGCCGCCCCCCACAGAGCCTGAAAGTCCTCTTGCCCCTAAATCCCACGTGTCTTTTGAAGCACGTGCCCAGTTGTGAACAGAGAGTTACACACTTCGATGCGGATTAGCGAGGCTTACAGTTGTACCGTGCTGGATAGGCGTGAGAGTTGCTAACGGCTGGAGGGCGTTGGGCAATATTTGTACCTAAAGGGACGAAGGCTGCAAAATGAGGGGGTCTGTAAGCTCAGGAGAGGGTCCAGTGGCGGGCTGTTATGAACACGGCACGAAAGGCGGCCGCGGGGGAGGGGGATTCTTAGTCAGCCGAGCGGGTGTCGGGCAGTGATCAGCTGAACTTCCGAGGCTCCACCGATGGAAGGGGTAGGACTGATCAGTACTTGAGCGCTGTGCTCATGCTCGACCCAGGACCTCCCTTCGTTTCGGTCCACCGGGCTCCATAAGGCATGACCGCGCCTACGCAGCTCGTTATAACGGGTAGTGGCCGGCCGCCCCTAGCGCTCGCGACGGCGTGACGCGTTCGGCGGCTACAATTGTTAGCGATACACTTATTTCCAAAAAGGTAAACCGTAAAGTTGTCCCTGTAAGGCGTATGTGGGAGTGGATGTATAGATCCACATTTTCTTGACCTCGGCACTAGCTGGAAGTGAGTGGTCAGCTTCACGCCCCGATCGCTTTAGCCCCTGGTACCCATTGGATAGGAGGCTGGGTGGGCCCCAGAGCTGGTGTGGACAGTGACCAGAAAGGAAGGCCTCCCCCCGCCGAGAGTCGAAACCTGATTCTCCGATCGACCAGCTCGTAGTGTAAGTCGTCATACTGACTGAGCTACCCGACTCACGTGTCTTACAATAAATAACAGTTACTTCCCTGTTGGTGTTTATAATGTAACCGATCTGCCAACCTCAGCTCGATTTAATTTAGTAGCATGTTTTGATCCATATTAATTAGCATGTTCGATTAGGTTTACTTGTAACCTACAGCAAATGGACGAGAGGTACATAGGCTATTTCTTGCTTTCAAGATGGAGGCTTAGCCCAAACTCTCGAATGAAAAAGACAAAAGAAAAACGACTGGTCAACGCAGATGCGAAGTAAAATAGGAAGGGGCGCCCCGCAGCTTGGTTCCTTTTGAAACTTACACAAAATTTTGCTTGTTGGAGTCCTTTGAAAATACGAAATGTGGCAGTTTTGAACATCGTAACCTAAAGATGGGTGGTCTCTCAGCCCAAGTCAAGCTTAACATTTGTCAAGCTACTGACAGGATTTACGTTAAGTCTTTGGAGCCTAAATTCCCTGTATTCCCTAAACGGATAGGGGGAACAGTTAATTAAGGTACTCCCGTTTTTTTTTTTTCAAAAATGACCAATCCCCGTAATTTAGGGAGTTGACTTGCGGACCGAGAAGTCTCCGAGAGTTGAGAAGAGGTCATTCTGCTAAGTTAGTTGTTGCACGACTCAAGAAATATACGGACGCAAAATCTGCATCCCTCCAAAATTTATAATTAACTACGTCAAATTTGTGGACTTACCACGCTTACAGTGTCCAGAGTATCAACTGTTGTCCCAAAGGGGGATTAAACGGAAAATTAAAGTACCAGTTTTGGAATTTGTAATATCGAAAACCAGTAACAGAGTTCAACATTCAGACGCAAGTCGGTGTGACACATAACTCAACAAGCCAATAGTAATAAAGTGTCTTCTGGAACAAAGTGCGTGTGTTATGACAGGAGTTCCCACTTCCCTTCCTGAGCGAGACCCTGCCAAGCGACCTGAGAACTGAATCTTAGCTCTACCGGAGAACTAGCTACCCCATCACAGCAACCCCTCATTAATCCTTCACCCCTTTCATGAATTACAACCTATTATATTAAAGATCAGGGGTGTGTAAATGGTGATAAGTGGAGCAGGGTAAAGCTAGCTGTAGCCGCCGCCACCAGTAGCAGCCCAGTGGAGACAACGGGCGGTCACAGCAAGAAGTTGGAGCACAACGTAAGGGCTAACGAGGGTAACGACAATAGTAATGGGGATGCAGTGTGTTTTCTGGGGAGTTCGAACTGAATCCTTATATATGATTTAGAAGAAATGGAGTCTTTAAAAAGGGTTAAATAAACCCCACGAGAATTCAATTCTCACCGTTACCTTACTGAGGGACAGACATCTGGTCACCGAGTCGCGCGCCGGCTGCTGCTACAGAAACTCGGCATGTGCCACGTGTGTGTCCCTGCAGCCTTCCTTTGCCAGTTGAAACTGTCCTCATTCCGAGGGCTGTTAACCACTGTTTCCCCGCCGTCGCAGCCTGTCCTAGCGATACTACGTGACAGCAGAGGTGCTTGGTTCGAATCTGAACAGGGATTTAGTGGCTTTCCACTAGGTTAGTACCTGGATTAAGTCATGACCGTTTCCTTCCAAATCCTTTCCAATTAATCATTTGTCTATATTCCGCTATATATAGCCTCGACAGTGAATGCGCCGCGCCGCGCCGCGCCGCATGCAGGCCTATGGTACCACGGAGTTCCGTCATGGCCACAGCGTTCAGTAGTTCTGACACCGTGTTCATCACCGTCCATATAACTGACAGCTTATGATCCATTTTAATAACATCTCCTCGCCTACATACACGCACTAAACATAGCGGTGATTAGTCGTTACACCTGCTTCCCCTATTCGGGAGGTCCAGGGTTTGAAATCTCGGCCTTGGAGACCGGCTATCCTCACCGAGCTTCTCGTGTGTTTCGTCAGTCCTCCGTATAAATGCAGGGATTGTATCTCAAATTAGGGCGTGATCACTGCCTTTCCAATCCATTATTCCCTAACCATGAACCATTCCACGGTACACGGTGTAACCTGAGCTAGCGGCAACGTCGTTAAAGGAACCACAAGTAAATAAATACACATCGGGTTCCAAGTGACTTCATTTCTGTTTCCCCTCTGATTCCGTTACGATTTCACAACAGTAAGCTCTTGCTGCATATTTCCATGGCAACGGGATCAGCTGATAATTCTTAACAGTACGACATTAAGGACGCGCCTGCGCACAACCAGTGGGGATACTGCTCTGACCCCAGCTTCAGTACATTTGATTCATCATAATTCTTGTGTACGGATTATTTCTCGACGCTGTGGGAAGAAGTGGTCGTGGCCTGTTTTTAAAGGTACTACCCGGCATTGTACTGTTAAATGTATCGGTCACCTCACACAGAACTGCCCAGATGACGGAATGGCCTCGCGTTCCACTGAAGGCGGCCAGTCCGAGTTCAAGGACACGCAGAGTTTAGCATCCTGGCCGCGAGGTTCGCGGCAGTCCGGTTCATCTTGGACATCTTGGAACTGAGTTTACCCCTCTGAAACGTAATTACTTAAGCACCATGCTATGAAGTACTGCAAGTGGAGGTATAGATCCATGTATTCTAAAATTCTACGCTAGACTGGAGTAGTTATCTTCACACCCCGGCAAGCGTGGTCGCCCCCGCCCAACGCCGAGCCAAATGTGCAGCCAGGGGCTGGGCCAGTTGTGGCGGTGAGAACCAGACGGCTAGCCGCTTGGGAGGTCCGAGGTTCTGACGTCTCCTACACGCCTAGCCCACTCAGAAATCGCTGGTTCAACTCCGAGCAGCGCCCTTTCGCTGTGTAAAGTCACGGTTCAACGGGAAACACCCACACAACCAGGCGCGCTGATCGCCACGTTAAAGCGTGTTCTCGGACAAGTGCACTTCGCTGAACGTCTCACTTCCGCTCAGCTATCTCGAAAACATGTCTCGGTTCTCTCTACAACTCCTATTCGAGTTAACGCTCGAGATGGGCGCAGATCCGTTTGTTGCCGTCCGCTTTAAGCCTAAACTGGGAACGTTTCGACGCGTTTTAGAAGCCCCAATATCAAATTTCATGTAAGTCCTTTCAGCTGCTCAGTTGTTACATGCAGACACACAAATACTGAAGGTAATTCGTGCATTTTTGCAGTACTTATTTGCGAACGCGCTAATAAGCACACTTTGCCATGTGAAACTGGGATAACACTTCTCGCATTCGTTTAACAACGTTTTGCCAGGTTGTTAAGTCACATCACGCCGAATAACAGAACGACAGAGTAGTAAAGTGGGGATAATGTCGTGGCCTATTTTAAACTACTACTACTGTCCTTGCAGAAAGAGATGCAGTTACCGTCCGTTTTGCTCGATTTCGAAAATGTCTTTGAGTCTTGACATTTGTGTGATGTACACGTGATTTAAATTACGTGTAAAAGCAAAGTTGTCCCTGCGCTTACTTACTTAAGCACCACTCCTACAATAAGTATGCGGGAGTTTCATGGACTCGACAGTAAATGAAGGTTAAAAGAACAGCTTCACGATCCGGTCGCTTTATCCCCAGGGAAACCCCCGGTACCCATTGGATAGGAGCACGTGATTTTCTGCTGTTACTGCAACTGTGACGAACAGTCATGTGCTTTGGCACTGAACGAGCTGCAAGTATTGTACTCATCGAGAAGTCCCCTGTCTCCAGGAATTCGAAGGCTGCTAAGCCGCTTCAGTGCATCCCCTTATCCATATCTCGATCTGACTTCGGTTCTGACGCAGCGTCGCCTTCATTTGTTTCAGTAGGATGCGTCTGTTCAAGCGACGCTGCTCCGACCCGAGTCCGCAACTGGTCAGCCTGTCACCGATATCCCAAGATGTCATTAATGACGTCATGCCTGACGATAACACCTCCGTCAGGACACGTCACCACCAGAGGCCACCACCGGTGCCGGGGTCGAGCAGAGGCGCCACAGCATGTGATGGCTCCCCGAAGTCAAACAGAAAAGGTGAGGTCGGGCTAGACGTTGCCAGAAGTGTTTCTCCGGAAGAAGAGTCTAAAGTTGGTACCTCCCATTCCATCCCAGCTGGCACAGCTGGCCCATCTGAAGCCAGTTTAAATTGCAATGTTGCAGGACTTGCGACCTGGGGCAAGAGGGTTGGCCGCAAGTGGGAGCAGCTCAAGCGGAGCGACTCTTCGGAACTACTGGCAGTGACCCCAGGCAGACGGCGACACTGGTCACCCAACAAATCTCCCCAGCCGCAGCAGCATGTGGCGCCTGGAACAGCAACGCGCACTCGCCGCATCTCCCGCGTCGAGTCTCTGCGCAACTTGTTCGCGGGACGCAACAGCAAAGTGGACAAGCAGACAAACACTGACCGGGACCCTGAGTGGGTCAAGGAGGAGTGCAAGCGAGGGCTGGCGGATCTCTACCAGCTGAACGCCATGCTCATGATGGACGAGCAGTTGTTGGAGTACCTGCAGAACTCGCTGGGGACCGATGCGGCCAAAGCCCTCAGCTGTGAGGACCTTCTATCGACTTTCAGGGCGGTAGCTAGCGAGGAGGAGTTGTCAAGCAAGAAGAAGAGGCCTTCCAAGTTGTCAGTGCTGACTGAGGAGAGCTGCAGCGCGGGATCTCTCAAGCGGAAGGCAGCATCCACTAGTTGTGACGATCTGCTGGCGAACGACGCTGAGGTGCGTCCAAAAGCTACTGTCAGGAGTGTCAGTCTGTCTGAGCCTCCCCTGTCTGTCAGTGACCTCTGTTTGTTCCTCAACAATCTGCTGCTCCTCCGGTCAGACGAGAGTGGTTACGAGAGCGACTCCACGCGGACAGGCTCAGACTCTCCGCGAGGATCCATCAAGTCCACGACTTCAGACTTCCCCGCGTCCAGCGGCCTACTGGAGTCCCGAAGAGGCACGGATGAAGTGTACGAACAGCTGCAGGAGGAGACAGAGGAAGCAAAAGCTGCTGACAGCGTGTTTGATGCACCAGAAGAAACTAAGCAGGTCAAAGATGAGGAGAAACTGTCCTTCTCAAGGAAGAGGAACGCCATCCGGCGAGGTGACGTTAAGGCCATTGGCAGGCGACCGCGGTCAACGAGTGGCGACCCGGCAGAATCACTGCTATGTAAGAGATGCAAACCAGAGGAGCTCAAGTGCATCCGTGTCTGCAAGGACCTGAAAGGGGAGCTGGGAGTATACATTGAGCGGAAGGATCCACACACGAGTTGCTACGTGATCTCACGCATCGAGCAGGGTGGACTCATAGACAGGTGAGACCAATGGGAGTCATGATATATCTTCTTTAGCAGGTGATTGGTTCTTTGGTTCTTTAACAATATTATCTGAAATTCAGAAGTTAAGCCTATGTACCATTATGTTGAATGGAGAGACAATCGAAATTCTGGATGGGGGAGGATCTAGTATGACATGGAAGTGGCCAATTTCAAGATACACTTCCATTGCTTGGGGATACTGCGCTCTCGGTCACAATCAAAACCTAGTAGTTCACAAGTACAAGTCAGGTGCATTGCTGGTGCATTTACATGCGTTGTGGTGTCCTGCAGAAATGTTAAATGGAGTTTATACTGGATGCAACATTTACAAGACTTGTCTCTGCCTAGGGATGGCCGTTTTCACATTGGTGATGAAGTGGTGCAGGTGAATGGCCAGCGAGTCCGTGGCATGACACTTCAAGAAGCCCGTACCACACTCAAGAACTGTCCTCGGGAGGTAGATATCGTGATAGCCCGGAAGGGTAAGGACAGTGACGCCAAGCCCCCAGCTGTGACAGGCATGAGGAAGTTCTCATACCAGTTCGACCACGTTGCACCACGACGACACACCTGTAATGTGACACCCACTGTTGGGCCTGGACGTCGTGTCACGGCTGGGACGATGCCCAGGAGACCCAAGTCCCTATCTCTGTCTCTCTTCACTGTAACTTTCCACAAGGGACCAGGAAGGAAATCCCTAGGATTCAGTGTCGTGGGTGGACAGGACTCCCCAAAAGGTGGGATGGGTATATTCGTAAAAACAGTGTTCCACTCTGGACAGGCAGCGGAGGAAGGCAGTCTCAAGGAAGGTGCGTGATGGCCTCCTTTAAACCTTTGAAAATAATTTTAATAATATACATAGAAATTCAGTTCCTACCTTACAGATAACACATGCATCTCTATCATAAAGATAAACCAGTTAATAATGCTGCTTAGGGAAATAATCACCATGTATTGTGGGAATCATTTCAAACACATGTATACCCTGTGTGGGAAAAATGCAGAGTTTTTTTATGTTGAAATAGGTGGTACATATAGTTACCATTGTGCTTTAAATGATTAGTATTGCAGCAGTCAGTAACTGAATAAAATTTCCAGTGATACCACTCCATGTTTCAGGAGATGAGATTTTGGCTGTGAATGGCAAGTCACTACAGGGTCTGACGCACTCTGAGGCAATCACAGTGTTCAAAGACATTAAGAGTGGGGAGGTGCTACTGCATGTGGGGCGAAGGGACCCCCAGACACGCAGGTACAGTTAAATGCTTCAATATATATAGACAGGGCATCAGGAATTATCCAGCTTAGGTTGGTGTTCCAACGGCAAGACACTAATTCAGTAAAACTCTGATGCTACATTTATTATTAGTCAGCATCTTTACTTCCTGTGGACTCTCCCCACCAAAGATAATGATAAGATAGAAGAAAATGATGGCGATTCCTAGGAAATGCGGCGTCAGAGGCTTGTATGGGACAGCAAATTTGGCTTCGTTCTGAAAATACATAGGTAAGTCAATAAGTAAGTTACAAATGGCTGGAGAACTTGAACAAATAAGAGTACTGATTTGAAAAATGCTTTTATTTGTCAGTATAATCTCCCTGTACACTGAGGCACTTGTCCCATCGTTTCGCAAGCCCCTGAAACCAGCAGCATAAAATTCTTTGGCATGGCCTACCTCATAATGCATGACAGGTTGTATGCTTCCATTGAATGGCCCTACGAAGCTTCCTGACGATGTTACAGTAGGAGTCGGCATTTACGGTTTGTCCTTGAGGCTGGAATGCGGTGAGCAGTATGCCTTCATGATCCCAGAGGACTGTGAGCATCACTTTCCTGGAGGATGGTATCACCTTAAACTTTTTTGGCAGGCAATGCAGGATGTTTCCACTGCACTGACGCACGCTTTATCTCGGGTTGGTAAATGTGAACCCAAGACTCATCACCTGTGACAGTTTGGGCTAGCATATCGTGTCCTTCATCATGGTAGCGACTGAGATACTGTAATGCCAGACCCATTCTTTGCATTTTGTACGTGTATTGTGGGGTCAGCATGCACGGCAGCCATCATGCATAGACTTTGTGAAAACCTAACCTGTCATGCATTATGAGGTAGGCCATGCCATGTGAACACGCCTGGTTCCGACAGCAGCCCAAAGAATTTTATGCTGCTAGTTTTAAGGGGCTTGTGAAATGATGGGACAAGTGCCTCAATGTACAGGGAGATTATGTTGAGAAATAAAAGCATTTTTCAAATCAGTACTCTTATTTATTTAAGTTCTATATCCATTTGTAACTTACTTATTGACTTACCCTCGTAGATCTATAATAATCGTATGACTGGAGGATGACTTAAGATTGTTCTTGTATGGGATGTGACACCGTGTGGTCTGGTAGATATGTAACAAATCATAATGCAGCCTTAGCCTACCAAGAGTGACACAACTTGTTAATGCAGTTGAAAACATTTCTGCTAATTGAAAGTACAGATTATTCTTGCACGAATTTGTCACGCTGTCAACATGTTCTAAATTATTGACATACAATGTTACAATGTGTAGGAATGTTTATGGTCTGTCTCCACATGCCTAGCTCCTGTGGTTTGACAGCTACTGCCACTGAAGCAATGCCATGTTTTCTGAATAAAAGTAGCAGATTTATCACATCATATGAGGACTTGTAAGGTGCACCAGTGTTGCCCTTGTGTCTCTGCCATGTTGTTAACGCTGACTGTAGGACACTGGACTGGTATAAAGTTCAATTTGTACCCTTCATCAAGCATTGTTAGCATCATGAAATCAAGGTTGGGAGAGGTGAGAAACGTTTGCGGCAGAACTGAAAGTCAGAGACCACTTGGAAGGCACGGCATAGGCAGTAGGATAGGATTGAGTTACTGTGCCCCTCGCTCCCAGTTCGGTGCAACATTACAGATATACGTTCTGTTTCTTTTCATTCACAGGGCCAGTAAATCAAAGTCATGTGATGACTTAGACAAGTTCAACAGCTGAATGACAGAAGATCTCAGCACTACCAGAAGTGTGCAACTAAGGCTGCAGCGAGATGTGCTTTCTGTGGAGTGTGTTGCAGTCACATGATTGCATGAGATTGGTGTCTTCTTGTTCATAACACTGTGTAGCTTCAGAAGTACATATCTTTGTTTCAGAGCAACCTGTTGCCTCTGTCACTCTTCTACCCTGAAGATGGGGGCAACAGGTTGCTCCGGAACTACCTACCATCACCTCCAAGAAGACTGTAATCATAATGCTCACCAACGTAAGAAGCCCAGATTTCATGTATCACCTAACTTTCAGACCAGTCGATTCCAGCATCATTCACAGTGACTGTAGAATTAGTATGTCATGCAGGTGCCATTAACATGCTGGCCTCATGGCCTCCCGCAGCAGAACAACAGACAGTTAGGGTTGAGCGGGGGACAGTCGCAGCAAGTAGAATCACCAGCGCTCTCCACTTGTGCTTGGGTCTGTATCTGTAACCCTGTAACACAGACCAAGCTGCCTGGACGTGACGGGAAGCATGCCCAGATATCGTCCTGACTGACATGTACGGTACGACTGACGTTTCCCAGCGTTACGTGTGTCCCTAGGAGTGTCGAGAGGCCCATGACAATCTGGCCGTGCTGCTTCACATCCCCTCAGGGAGAGGCCGTCCAGCCTTCTCGGGCTTCTTATTAATGAACTGTAGGAGGGTGTCTTGCCTGTGACAAACTTGAGACATCCTCTGGTAGTCAGCAAGTGCCACACCCTAGAACATATGGAACATGGCCTCCATGTCCCCTATACGTGTGAGACAGTAAGAGTACTGGAGAGCCAGACTTCAAACCATGGTTTTTCCCCTTTTGATCATTATCCTGCAGATGGGTCTGCGGCCACTCCAGGCTCCTGTCAGTGGCTGCTAGGCACTTTCCCTCCCACAGTAAAGTAACCATGAACTCCAAGCACAGCCAAAGTTAACTCTCACAGGAGAGCACAGTCATATTTTCAGAATATGAAAAGGAAAATTTATGTGAGTTTTTTTAATAGATTTGGTGTAGTTCATCATAAATAGGGGTTCAAGAAGGTAGGCAAGAGATGACATATTTGGGGGGTTTCCACAATTGCCAATGCAATTGCTAGGAGATAATCAGGAAATTTTAAAACACTGCATGAAAAATAATTGCACCTGATCTCTCAGGAGTGCCCAGCAAAGGGACAAAAGTTTGCAGGGACTTCTACCTCCCAGCCACCAACCTTCGTGGTGGATTGGGGCAATGAGAAATCAAGCCTAACGTGCACTGGCCACGTGTCCCACAGCAACTACAGCTCAGGCCTGTAGTCTAACTGACCAAACATTGCATTTATTCAGTCCCCCAAGTTAAAATTCAGCTACCAGCTCCAGAGGGATTTAAAATCCCCTATTCCCATAGGATAAAGGTTAAGAGTGTTGGTAATTAAAATAACCAACCTGTATATACTGTACAGTTCAGTGGGAAAGTTACTGCAACAGTTCCTCTGTGTGTTCAGCATGAAAGTGGTGTGGGATTTCCAATTTGCTTTCCAAATCGGGCTGTGTAGTCGCAGTCCAGTGGTATTGTGACTGTGTGCCCGTATTGCTTGTATCAGACTATCTTGTGTGTATAAGTCTTTAGTTACATGTGTGTATATAGATGAATTTTGAAATATATTGTATTTTTATCTAGTGTAACTTTCCTCATTCCTGTTGTACATCCAATAGAGAACGCCCAGAGATATAATGAAATTGCCAATGTATACGGCAGCCACGGCTGCTAGAGTGACGTGCAAGTGCTATTCCAAATCTTCCTTTTTTAATTATGCCAGTGAACTATAATTTTGTAACTGGAGTGTTTAGCTACTGTGTGCTGCGAGCAACCGTATCTGGGGAAAAGTTTGGGCAGTTCCTCCATGCAATTGCTGACACAGCAACTTGAAGCGGGAGGGGTGGTAAAGTTGCCGGAGCGTGAGGCTGATCTCACTTGCATCTTAATTAAATGGCACTTCACTTTTACATCTCGAGAAACTGAGCGATCAAAATATTATATCGGTAGCCCATAATTATGTGAGAAACTTATGGAACATGAATGAATGGCATTTAAACAGATCGTGGGGGGGCCTCGAATTGCACGCAAGTAGGCCCACGGCGGTATGTTTCTGTCTGGAGCCATTTAATGTTCTACATGACCATACACCCCAAGCAAGACGTCTCTAGTAGTACAGACATTGACCGCTGTGGCGCTATAAGACAGCAGTCGCGCAGTATATGCCTGCTTTGTGCTGCCATCTCTGGCCAATTAGTACAAATATTGCTTTCGAAGGACGTGTGTGGCATCTGTGAGACAGCCCGGAAGCGCACGGCCTTTTAGGTTGTGACGTCCCCGCAATACGTTTCGGAGGATACGCTTCCTTCTTCAGTGTCGAAGAGTATGCCAAGCAAGAAAGGGACGTTAGTCGGCGGCCAGGGTTCGAGCCCAGGTCAGGTCAAGCGGAATTTGGGGGTAAACAAAGTGACACTGGGGCAGATTTTCTCCTAGTACTTCGGTTTCCCCTTCCAATTCTCACTCCACATTCATCACCATCAATTATCCGCGACTGGTACAATAGGCCAGTTAGTGACTGACGTACCAAGCAGACTCGGTCTCACCCCTCCCCACGAAACTGAAAGAAATATCCAAGCAAACTTGAGTGACATTCAGTTTTCAGGACAAACATTGCAACAGCGAATGGAAACATCTGTGGTGGGCCAACGCAACACAACGAGAAGCCCCGTATTTATAGGAAGCACGCGGTAGCGTAGTTGGTTGACGCACTATACTACAAGTTGGAAGGTCGCGGGTTCGATTGCCGACGAGGTCATTAGATTTTTCAATTGACCTAATCCTTCCAGACGCACGATGGCCCTGGGGTCGACTCAGCTTCTAGCAGAAATGAGTACCAGGAATCTTTCTGGGGGTAAAGGGCGGCCGGCGCGTAAGCCTGACAACTTTACCGCCATCTGTGAGCCGATTGTGTAGAAAATGTGGGAGCCTCGACGTCTCACAATCCTATGGGCCTCCACAGCCCGTTGCAGGGATAGCTTTACCAGGATGAACTGGGCATGTAGTGTGAACAGAGCACTAGCAACTGAGCTAGGACTCGGAGGCAGACGCGTGGGGATCAAGCATGGGAGATGGAACAGAACACGCCTGCTTGAGCAAGAGTCTCCCTCCAGCCTGTCAACTTCTGAGGACCGCAATACGAAATTTGTTTGTTTCGTGCCATTTTCTGTCTAATCATCTCAAACATTTCACGTGTTTCCAAGTGCTGCTGCTCTAAACTAAAGGCCAGCAACGGCACAACCATTCTCCCTTCTTGATATTGTGTTAATAAATAATATGGCTTCCTTAAGAGACATTGAACAACGCAAAAGAATCTGCATGACTCAGTGCGTCCTTGAGCATTCCCCTCTTACGGGCTTGCCGCGAAACGGCGATGACGACATATAAAAAACAAAACCAGTTGTTGCGATTACGCGGATTCGAACCCTTCACGTCGCAAACACAAAATGTGAGTACAGGTTGGGAGGGTTGGGTGCACCACGAGATGAACACGACACGACTGATAATGCTGAAGACGGCACCATGTCACTGGTACATTCGCGACTGTCAACAAATTAGCCCTTTAAAGCACACTACCCGCTCTACGTCTACTCACATAGTGTACAGTAAACCCCTGCTATGGGCCGCGCCATAGCTCAAGCGGTTAGTCGCTGGCTTACCACCGCGGCGGCCCGGGTTCGATCCCGGGTCTGGTCAAGTGAGATTTGTGGTGGACAAAGTGGCGCTGGGGCAGGTTTTCTCCGAGTACTTCGGTTTCCCCTGCCAATCTTCATTCCACCAATTGCTCCACAATCACCCTCACCTATCATCTGGGGCTGGTACAATAGGCCAGAAGTGGCAGCAGTACAAGGGACTTAATCCCGCCCCACTAGCAATGAAAAGAAACCGGTTGGGCTTTTTAGCGGAGACGTAACGTGTTTCCTGTGAGGTACGAGCTGAAGCAGCACGTAATACTTAAATGAACTTGATCCCCTCATCGAAAATGAGGCCCCATTTCAAAACAGGCAGACCTCTTAGGAGAACAAAAGTATGGTCATGGGTTCCCAAACCAAGAACGACTGTGCTGGCTAGTGCCAGCAGCAATTTACTGGACCGGATTGGACTCGCCTTCTTTACTTCGCTCTGTCAACCGTATCCCTAACAGAAGGACGAGCGGGCACTGTCTGGGAACATTCGAAGAAA